AAACGAGAGAGATTGATTCACCAACTGTGTTGTGGTTTTAGGTGATGCAATCAAATAGACAGAATGGGAGAAATGAGTGGGACAGAGAGGGTGGAGTAGCGAAGGTGGAGGCACAGGTGGGAACAATGGGATGGGGGATGGCATTGGATTTTGTTTGGCTAATGAAATAGGGAGGTTGTGGGTGGTGATAGTGTTTGGTTAGAGAGCAAAATGGATGGTTTTGAAATATGTGTTTTTTGGTAACAGATACTAAAGGAAAGGATTTGTTTGGTTTAGAAATATTGTGATGATATTTGGTATTGTTAAAGGGCAAAAGGTTAACTTCACGTTTCCCTTTAATCTTGGTCAGCCAACAACTCCTAACAGAGGGAGTCAGTGTAATATGGATTCTTTGCCTTGACCTTTTTTTGTGCCTTTTGTGATTTTCATTTTTAGTGGCTGGAATAGCTGTTGGAAGATTTTTTGATTTTTTCACTGAACTAAAATCCTGTGAAAATATGTTAAACCCATATATAATATAATATATATTCCATATGGTTATTTTACATCCAATCAATGGGTATGATCTAGCTACTATAGTATTTCCTAACAATCTGTTGAACCCATAAATCAGTTTTGCTGTGGTGATGGCAATTGTATGTACAAAAGTTCAAATTCTGGTTGTATGTTCATGTCTTTAGAAACTTCAAATTCAAACTCCATAATTATAACTTCATAAATGATGTAGTTTTCAAGTCTTTAAGTTTCTCTTGTTTATTCTCATAATTTTGATTGGAACTTACTAGTCAGGTGTTTACTTTATAATTCCTTCATATTGAGATGCAGATTGATCTTTTTGTATTGCTTGAAAATTGTAGGTTGTATGATTTATTACCCATTATAGAGTTTGTTTATTTTGTAGGTATTCAATTTCATTATTTCTACGTATAGAGTTGCTCTCTTCTTAAATTATTATCATGTAAATGCAATTTCTGCATAATTTAAATAGATTTTATGCAGAAAAGTCAGATAATCAGTGGGAAGTTGACCTTTGCCCATCATAATTACCTAGAAATAAGTTGTTAGCTAACTCACAGTTTCTGTATTATCATGTATGATTTGTTCTTTTCTAAAACTCTCCACTCTTTGTTGTGTTTTGATTATGGGGTCACTGTTTTTATTATTTCTAGATGCCTTTTTCTTCAGTTTTTGTTTATTTAAGTTTGAGCTTGGGATAAATAAAGAGTACTCATGAACTGTGGCAGCAGTGTAACACTCGTTTCATCACAACATCACATGAAAGGTTCATTGAGGAAGATAGGAGTTATTGACAATATATAATGATAGTCATTTAATGACAAATGATAATGATAGTCATGGACATTTTTCATTATTTGTCCATTTTTACCTGACTTATTTTTCTTTTTCTTTAGTACAGATGGATGAACTCGTGCACAAAGCTAAATTGTACAGGACAAATTGGCACTCTTTGCATTTTTGGAAGGATTATATATTTTTGTATAGATATATATGGAAAATATTAGGGTAGACTAGTTTCTATATTTTTGGATACACTACTGTTATATTTTTTGGATGAGTGTGTATAGAAAATATTTGTAGACTACTAGTTATATTTTTGGGTTGATGTACATGGATAAAAATTTAAAACATAATAACAACTACTTGTTATGTTTTAAATTTTTATGCTAGATGAAATATGTAGTTTGGAATTTTTTGTGGATGTACACTTAATATAGTTGCTGACTTTAATTAAACAGGTTCAGAAATGGTTAATATATATATTTGTTGAATGTTGATGATTCAATTTATTTGTTGTTTGAATGATTTTTGCAAATTACAGATTTATATGAATAAATTGGATGGATTATTATAAATTACAGGTTTATTTGTTGGATGTTGGCGACCAAAATTTGGTTTTGTTTTTCTAGTTTTGGCGACCAATTGATTAGTCGTCAAAAAATATAAGTTATACTTTTGCCGACTAAATAAGTAGTCGGTGTATCACCAAGCACATTTGGCGACTAAATAATTAGTCGTTAAAATTGTTAATTTTGGCAACCAAAGGATTTGGTCGCAAATAGGTCTATTGTCGACTAAAGTTTTAGTTGCGCAAAACATGTTTGGTCGCGGAATGTGACAATTGGCGACCAAAATTTTTGGTCGTGGAATGTCATAATTGGCGACCAAAATTTTTTGGTCGTGGAATGTCACAATTGGCGACCACTTTTTGGTCGTTGAATGTGATAATTGGCGACCAAACTTTTGGCCGCGAAATGTGTCAATTGGCCACTAAGATATTTGGTCAGGAAAATATCACTTTTAGCGACCAAAGTGGTTTAGCGACTAAATGAATTAGTCGCGGTAATAATATATTTAGCGACCAAAAAATTTAGTCGGCAAATCCGACTTTTCCCGACCAACCAAAATTTTGGTCGCGAATTACTTTTGCCGACCCTCAATGGCGACCAAGTAGCGACCAAAAAAATTGGTTCGCGGATAACTTTTGCCGACCAAAAATGGACTTTTAGCGACCAATTTTTGGTCGGCAAAAGTGTTAATTCTCGTAGTGGTGATTGTAATTAGTTCAACAGTTTTTTTTTTTTTTTTTAATGTGATTATAGTTAGTTCAATGATTCTTTTTTTTAATGAGATTGTATTGTAATTAGTTTAATGGTTCTTTTTTTTCATTTGTTTTTTTTTATTATGAGAAAAATGTGATGTGATTGTAGTTTGTTCAATGGTTCTATTTTTTAATGTGATTGTATTATAGTTAGTTCAATGGTTCTTTTTTTTTTCATTTGCTTTTTTTATTTATGAGAAAAATGTGATGTGATTGTAGTTTGTTCAATGGTTTTTTTTTTAATGTGATTTAATTGTTTTATTACTGTTTTAATGGTTCTTCTTTACAATTATTATTTTTTTTTTATGAAAAAAATATTATTGTAGTTAGATAGCGTAAAAATTTTTTGTGATTTGTATGATTGAAGTTATCTCCTTTTTTGATTTGTATTTGGTCTAGCTAAAAAAAAAATATAATTTGATTTTTTAATATGATTGAAGTTAGATAAATATAAACACTCACAAAGAGAAAAAATGTGATTGTATTGAATGTGATAATTGGCGATCAAACTTTTTGGTCGTTGAATGTGATAATTGGCGATCAAACTTTTTGGTCGTTGAATGTGATAATTGGCGATCAAACTTTTTGGTCGTTGAATGTGATAATTGGCGATCAAACTTTTTGGTCGTTGAATGTGATAATTGGCGATCAAACTTTTTGGTCGTTGAATGTGATAATTGGCGATCAAACTTTTTGGTCGTTGAATGTGATAATTGGCGATCAAACTTTTTGGTCGTTGAATGTGATAATTGGCGATCAAACTTTTTGGTCGTTGAATGTGATAATTGGCGATCAAACTTTTTGGTCGTTGAATGTGATAATTGGCGACCAAATTTGTTGGTCGTGGAATGTGACAATTGGCGACCAAAAAGTTTGGTCGCCAATTGTGACATTCCATGACCAAAAAATTTTGGTCGCCAATTATGACATTCCACGACCAAAAATTTTGGTCGCCAATTGTCACATTCCGCGACCAAACATGTTTTGCGCAACTAAAACTTTAGTCGACAATAGACCTATTCGCGACCAAATCCTTTGGTTGCCAAAATTAACAATTTTAATGACTAATTATTTAGTCGCCAAATGTGCTTGGTGATACACCGACTACTTTATTTAGTCGGCAAAAGTATAACTTATATTTTTGACGACTAATCAATTGGTCGCTAAAACTAGAAAAACAAAACCAAATTTTGGTCGCCAACATCCAACAAAATAAACCTGTAATTTATAATAATCCATCCAATTTATTCAATATAATCTGTAATTTGCAAAAATCATTCAAACCAACAAATAAATTGAATCATCAAAATTCAACAAAATATATATATCAACCATTTCTGAACCTGTTTAATTAAAGTCAGCAACTATTATAAGTTTACATCCACAAATAATTCCAAACTACATATTTCATCTAGCATAAAAATTTAAAACATAACAAGTACTTGTTATTATGTTTTAAATTTTTATCCATGTACATCAACCCAAAAATATAACCAGTAGTCTACCAAATATTTTCTATACACACTCATCCAAAAACATAACAGTAGTGTATCCAAAAATATAGAAACTAGTCTACCCTAATATTTTCCATATACATCTATACAAAAATATATAATCCTTCCAAAAATGCAAAGAGTGCCAATTTGTCTTGTACAATTTAGCTTTGTGCACGAGTTCATCCATCTGTACTAAAGAAAAAGAAAAATAATGTCAGGTAAAATTGGACAAATAATGAAAAATGTCCATGACTATCATTATCATATTGTCATTAAATGACTATCATTATCATATTGTTAATAACTCCTATCTTCCTCAATGAACCTTTCATGTGATGTTGTGATGAAACGAGTGTTACACTGCTGCCACAGTTCATAAGTACTCTCTTATTTATCCCAAGCTCAAACTTAAATAAACAAAAACTGAAGAAAAAGGCATCTAGAAATAATAAAAACAGTGACCCCATAATCAAAACACAACAAAGAGTGGAGAGTTTTAGAAAAGAACAAATCATACATGATAATACAGAAACTGTGAGTTAGCTAACAACTTATTTCTAGGTAATTATGATGGGCAAAGGTCAACTTCCCACTGATTATCTGACTTTTCTGCATAAAATCTATTTAAATTATGCAGAAATTGCATTTACATGATAATAATTTAAGAAAGAGAGCAACTCTATACGTAGAAATAATGAAATTGAATACCTACAAAATAAACAAACTCTATAATGGGTAATAAATCATACAACCTACAATTTTCAAGCAATACAAAAAGATCAATCTGCATCTCAATATGAAAGGAATTATAAAGTAAACACCTGACTAGTAAGTTCCAATCAAAATTATGAGAATAAACAAGAGAAACTTAAAGACTTGAAAACTACATCAATTTATGAAGTCAATTATGGAGTTTGAATTTGAAGTTTCTAAAGACATGAACATACAACCCAGAATTTGAACTTTTGTACATACAATTGCCATCACCACAGCAAACTGATATATGGGTTCAACAGATTGTTAGGAAATACTATAGTAGCCAGATCATCCCCATTGATTGGATGTAAAACAACCATATGGAATATATATATATGGGTTTAACATATTTTCACAGGATTTTAGTTCAGTGAAAAAATCAAAAAATCATCCAACAGCTATTCCAGCCACTAAAAATGAAAATCACAAAAGGCACAAAAAAAGGTCAAGGCAAAGAATCACAATATTACACTGACTCCCCTGTTAGAGTTATTGGCTGACCAAGATTAAAGGGAAACGTGAAGTTAACCTTTTGCCTTTTAACAATACCAAAATTCCATCACAATATTTCTAACCAAACAAATCCTTTCCTTTAGTATCTGTTACCAAACAAACACATATTTCAAAACCATCCATTTTGCTCTCTAACCAAACACTATCACCACCCACAACCTCCCCTATTTCATTAGCCAAACAAAATCCAATGCCATCCCCCATCCCATTGTTCCCACCTGTGCCTCCACCTTCGCTACTCCACCATCTCTGTCCCACTCATTCTCCCATTCTGTCTATTGATTGCATCACCTAAAACCCACAACACAGTTGGTGATTCAATTATAGGATTATGGGGCTACCACCACCACCGTGGCATACAAATCCAGAAAATTCCCTTTCTGTCTATTTGGTTGACTAACATTGATTGAAATAAGGCTTTTATGTTAGGGAAGGGTTTTAGCCATGGAAGTCGTGCATTGATTACACAATTTCAATGAAATCGTGAAATCAATACACATATTAACTCTCCATTGCTTTTAAAATCATATTTTCAAAAAAACGTTTTTATCTTAAAGTCATGTTTTGAAAACATGATTTCAAAAACAAACTTGGTTCGGTATATAATTTCACAACGGCTCGAGTTTGGGAAATTTGTTTCGAAATGACGTGTGTTTGGTATAAAAAAAAAAACTATCTATTCGGGTTACACAGCCAGTGTGGTCTCATATTTTAAAATTTCGTTAGGGCTTAGATATTCACACTCTGCAACGGATCCCCCCTAAACATACAGTACGCATATAGGCTTGAACACAGAGAGCAGGAAGGGAAGAAACAAACCAGACAGACTTCATCTCCAGTGGCATATTTCCCAGCATAATCTTTTAATAGCTTCTCAAGAGCTGCAATGTGTGTACATAGAAATCAGCTCAAATTCAATACTCAATTTTCAAAGCAACCTTAATCATATCATAGCAAACTTGATTTTTGGTCACTGTTTGCCCAGAAATTACCAAACTCTAATGGAAAATTTCCCAACTTAAAAGTTAAAGTAGGTTAGGATTTTTTCAGAGGAACTCTACAAAAAGAAACTCCTATCAATGATAAATTTAAATCAGCAGTGATTTTTTTCTTAATGCTTAGTACAAGATCAAATTCTCACCTAACTTCATGGTAATTGAAACTTAAACCAATAGGAAAGCATGATGCACTTTCAATCCACTCCCCACATTCATGGAGATGATTACCTATTGAATATGCTAATCCTAATTATGTATGTTCAATCAGATAAATTGATGCATTCTTATTGAATGTGTTGATTAATCCTTTTAAAGCACCAGAACTTCTGTGCAAAGTCCTATATTTGATACAATACTAAGATCATTTGAATGGTTTGTAGATCCTCATGGCATAAAATATAAAGTTGCCTCAAATTTAACTTGCATTGCACATAAGTTGTCTGGCTTGAAAAAAAGGAAAAAGAAAAAAGGATAGAACATGTTTCCATTGGACTGAACCATAGGTTGTATTAAAAAAGTTCCATCTTTTCAATATAAGGCATACTAAAACAAGGTATATTAATGACATGCCCATTTTCATTTGTTGGACTCCAACACTCGTCTTTAGACACTTCTGACACGTGTCAAACACGTCCAGTTATTATTATTATGATGATTATTATTATCAACTAAAATTTAAACTCAGACACACTTTGGAAATTTGAGGGACACATAACATTACAAATTTGAACAAAATAAATTAGGAACTAATAATTATAAAAAAAAATGTAAATTTATACCCATTAATCCATTCTCATTTGAACTTTGGAAATGCGTGTTATGTTGTGTATTTTTATTAACTTTGACTGAAATATTTATATATATAACATATGATAAATATAAAAAAATTATATTTTACTCATGTCCCCACGTAATGTCCTGCATTTTTTTTGAAAACTGTTGTATCGGTGTCCATGTCCATGCTTACTAGATTATAGGGTTTTTGGTAGAGGACAAAGTGAAGATTTGAATAGATAACAAGATCATATCTTCTACTTTTTATGTATTTATTTGATGATCCTAACACAAGACATGTTTTAAAAGTAAGCTAACATCAATTACTAATAAATTAATTAAGTAATTGGCATGAGGAAAAAGGTTCCAGTCACTTCATAAAGTCTTCTTCTTAACAATGATCCAGCTATTATTTGCTTGATACTAGCAAAACAATTAAAATACATTATTAAAACAAAATTATCATAAAGGAGTTTGGATCAAACTGTGATGTCCATGGGTTGCACACACTTGCTCTTTGATAGGAACAAGGAAACAAAGTATTGCTTGGATGATTGGAGGCAACAGGTTAAGAAGGTGAAACGTCAAGTAGTCAGCACTAGCAGGCTACACACAACCAACTTGTGTATTCAAACTGGTATGACAGATTTCTTTAAATGAAAAAATAAAATAAAAATCCATAATCTGTAGTTCATTAGGTAAAGCTTACCTGCAAAGCCTTTGCCAATATGATACTGAACCCAAACAAGCTTCTCATCAGGATGAACTTTTTCCCCAATATACTTCTGTACATTAAAAAGCAGGGAAATACCCATCACTATGCTAAAAAAAATGTTGTGATAGCATTATATGAATTTTAGCAATGAAACAGAAATTTTAAAGCAGTGATCTCACTCCAATACTCACCAGTACACCTATATTCTGAAGCGGCTGTATGCTTGAGGAAACAATATTTGCAGCCTATAAATCAAATAATAAATACATTGAGGATTAGTTTAAGTAATCAAAACAGAACAGGATGAAAAAAAAAAAAAAAAAAAATTGTGAAAGTAGAAGGAATGAATGAATAGTTCTGACAAAAGTCATTCACAACAGATCTGAAAAAATCATCAACAAACAACAGTCATGGATTCTCTCTCTAAAACTCTATTTTGATTTGGATCTAAATCTCACAATCGGTGGTAGCGGAGATGACAGAGGAGGCCATGGAGCAGAGGATCGGCAACGGAGGAGGTGATTTCTAGCGCTTGGATGACTGCAGAACCATCGAGATCGTGAAAGAGTTGAGACAGTGAGAGAGTTGAGAGAGAGAAGAACGAGAGAGAGAGAGAGAGAGAGAGAGAGAGAGAGAGTAATCTCTTCTTGACCAGTCAAGAAGAGGAGGATGTCACGCTCAGGTTCTGTCAAGTGGATCTCTATAACAGTGATTAGAGATATATCTAGGTAGTCACTTTCTGACTATTTGGTGTAGAGTATCTCCATCAGATAAGTTCTTCCAAGAATTGTAAAGATATTGCGGTTAAAGGAATAACTTGAAAATTTCTCTGCATCTAATGTGACAGATGTGACAATCAATCGAAGGTCAAGTCTCCTCTTTACAAGCTGCTTCAACAATCCAAAAAGGACATCAATGTGGATTGTCCTCTCATGAGCTTCATCAAGCATTATAACTGAATACTGAGATAAATTCTCATCAATCAAAATCTCTCTCAGAAGCATACCATCTGTCATATACTTGATTACTGTATCCGGTCCGGTCCAGTACAAATGACGACGATGAACTCTGATGATGGAGGTAGAGTTCGTCGGAGAGAGAAGAGCAAAGAGAAAAGAAGAGAGGGAGAGGCAGTTTGATTTAAGGGAATCAAATTTCTCTGTGATATATGGGTGTTGGGGATTGAGGGACCTTAGACATCATAAAATAATATTGTG